GATGTCTTCGGACTATTCAGGAGTAATGAAGGATCATATTCTATGTCAGAAGATGTTTATAACATTTAGACCATAAGATATAGGAGCAGAATTAGGCAATTCAGCCCATCAAATCTTCTCCTACACAAGAACAGAAGTTGCTGAAAAAGCTCAGCAGGTCTGGCAGCACCTGTGAAAAAAAATCAGAGTTAATGTTTCAGGTCCGGTGACCCTTCCTTAGATACAGGGCCCAAAACTACTCACAGTATTCCAAATGCAGTCTGATCAGAGCCTTATACAACCTCAGCAGTACATCTCTGTTCTTGTATTCTAATCCTCTTGAAAAGAATTCTGAAGAAGGGACCCGACCTGAAACATCAGCGTTTTTGCTCCTCTGATGCTGCCTGGCCTGCTCCACACTGTGTTATCTCTAATTACATTTGCCTTCTTATCTGCTAACTGAACCTGCATATTAACCTTAAGAGAATCCTAAACTAGGACTCCCAAGTTAATTTGCGCTTTAGATTTCTGAAGCCTTTCTCTATTTAGAAAATAGTCTACGCCTCTATTCTTCCTACCAAAGTGTATAACCTCATACTTCCCCGCATTCCATCTGTCACCTCATTACCCACTCTCCTAACCTGTTCAAGTCCTGCTGTAGCCTCCCCACTTCCTAAACGCTACCTGTCTCTCCACCTATCTTTGTGTCATCTGCAAATTTAGCAACAATGCCCTCAGTTCCTTTGTCCAGATCGTTAATGTATGACATGAATTAATAGTTGTGGTCCCAACAGGGACCCCTGCGGAACTCCGCTAGTTACTGGCTGCCATCCTGAAAAAGACCCCTTTATCCCACTCTCTGGTTTCTACCAGTCAGCCAATACTTTATCAGACCTAGGTTTGATTGGAAACAATTTAAGGATTAAGTTGTAAACTATTCAACGTGAAGCTGGATGGCTGGATTTTGAAACATAGGTTCAATTCCCACACCAGCTGAGGTGCCCATGAAGAACTCTCCTTCTCAACCTCTCCCCTCACCTGAGGTGTTAGACCTAGACTAACACTAACCCTGTCGCAGGTGACGCAGAAGGATAAACCACCACCAGTCATCTCTGTCTAATGGGAGAGCAGCCCTATGGCCCTCTGGGACTATGGCCACTTTACCTTTTACTTGGTGTGATACACTTCCATTCCAAAAGATGTAAGATAAGATATTGCCTGGGTTAGATTTCTGAGGATCTATTCTCCCACCCACCACCACATTGAACTGTCATAGAATGATAGAGTGCAGAAAGGAAGCCATGTGGCCCATCATGTCTAACATTACTAGACTAATAATCCAGAAGTCTGGGATCTCATGAACCAGAAGCATGAGTTCAAAACCCATTAATATTTTAAAGCAGAACTGTTTACAACTGATATTCTCAACAGGTTGCTGGAAATTTGAGGACTCTCGGTCTGTCCAGTGTTTGGATATTTTTGAATCAACCTCTTATTAAACACCTCTGGAGCAGGTGGGACTTGAACCTGAGCCTCCTGACTCAGAGGTAGGGACACTACCACTGCACCACAAGAACCCTCCCATTATGTCTACGTTATCTCTTTGAATGGGCTATTCAATTAGTTTAATTCTCCGTGTTCTTTTTCCATAGTCCTGTACCTTTCCTCCTGCTAAGATTTGCTGTTGATTCTGCAGCAGGACATTCCAGTTCACAGGAATTCACTAAAATAAGAACTTGTCTGTTCTCTGGCTCTTTTACTCATTATCTTAAACGGAGTCTTCCCCTACCGACTCTCTTGCCACCAGAAACAATTTCTCCTCATTCAGTCTTTCAAAATCTTGCCTGACTTTAAACATTTCTAACAAATTTCCCCTTGACCCCCTGTGCTCCCTGGAGAACAATCCCATCTTGACAGACTCTGCACAGAACTTAAGTTTCTCATCCCCGACACCATTCTGATAAACCTCCTTTGAACTCTCCCTAATGCCTTGACAATTAATTAAAAAATACCTTCTGTTTTAGCCGCCTCTTCTGCCCTACTCTTGCTCCCTCTGTCAGTGAATGCAGAACACAGGATGGTACCAAGTCATGCTGATCAGGAAGATCCCACTGATCTTGGACACTGTCAGCAATCTGCTCTGAGGGACCAGAGGCAGGATGGCAGTTTGCAGTATTACACATGGTCACTACACTGTTGAGCTGGGGAAGAGGCTGAGTGCAAAATGACACTCAGGTGACCCCTGGTGCAAAGTGTAAATAATTTGTCATTAGAAGGAGGTGAATGAGGATCCTCACAGCAGAACAAACAGGCAGTGCTCACTCCCTCAACTCACGTGAGAACAGTTGGAGTGAGGTATCACATGGCAGTTACCTGAAATGGAATTATAGCCTGAAACAAATCAGAATCGAAGGTCTGAAAAACTAAACATGCGGACTTATTTTAAATTTTGTATAATCAGCAAAGATTCAAAATTCTGGAACAGTTGAACTAGAATCAGGAAAAGTAATTTATTGCCAAAAGAGAGACACACTATTGAAGTGTTTCACCTTGCCCACATCAGGATTTGAGTGCAAGAATACCTAACTTAGAAAGTGAACAACATTGAAACAGAACCAGAACAGAGCACTGATTGGTTGGAGCGTGTTTGGCAGGAGATGTAACAGAAACTGTCAACTGTTATATACAAGTAATAAATCTAAAGGAATCTGTAAATATATCTGGGGAAAGATAATATATCTGGAATGTGTGTTTAGGAAAAGTTGTCAAACCTTTGTCAATAAAGGAAGGTGCAGCTAGGATCTTTTTTAAAATTACTGTGCTATCAGCAGTGACTACAGTTTAAAAGTAGTTATAAAACCCTTTGGACTGTTTTGTTGTCATAAAAGGTGCTACATAAATGTAAGTGCAAATGGAGTGTGTGTTCCATATTCCTTCATAGAAGTGTGGCACAGTGGCTCGGTGGTTAGCACTGCTGCCTCACAGCACGAGAGACTCAGGTTCAATATCAGCTTCCAGGACTGTCCGTGTGGAGTTTGCACATTCTCCCCGTGTCTGCGTGGGTTTCCTCTGGTTTCCCCCAGCAGTCCAAAGATGTACAGATTAGGGTGGATTGGCCATGCTAAATTATCCATAATGTGCAGGCTAGTTGGGTTAGCATGGGAAATACAGAGTTATGGGGATGGGTGGGTCTGGGTGGGATGCCCTTTAAAGGGTTGGCGCAGACTCAAGGGGCCAAATGGCCTCTATCTGCACTGTAAGATTCTATGATCCATTTCTTAGGGGCAGCATTTGTGGCCCATTTGGGCCATTTCAGTCAGCATTTAAGAGGTTATTACTGAGACAAACTTTCAATCCCAGATTTTATAAATTGAATTACTATCATGGTCAGATTTGAACGCCTGTCCCCAGAATATTAGCCTTGCCTTTGGATCACTCACGCAGTAGCATTACCAGTGTGCTACTATCCCCCACTTCATGTAAAATAAAAAGCAAAGAACTGCAGATGCTAGAACAGAAACAGAAATTGCTGGAAAACTCAGCAGGTCATGCAACATCTGTGGAGAGAAAGCAGAGTTAACGTTTCAGATCAAGACACCTTTCTTCAGTGAACTTACGTTACATCTTTCTCTCCACAGAGGCTGTGTTTTCCCAGCAATTTCTGTTTTTGTCCCACTTTGTGTGTTTTTGTCCTTATTCTTGAAGTTCTCTGCCTCAAGGCATGTTTGACACATAGCTCTGCGATCTCCACCACAAACAGATCTTGAATTCACCCCAATCATGGGGAACAGGGATTAAATTCTGTCTGATCAGATCCACACCAGCTGTTCAGCCGACTGGAGCTGGAGGAACACAGCAGGTCAGGCAGCATCAGAGGAGCAGGAAAGTTGACATTTCGGGTTGGGACCCTTCTTCAAAAATGACGGTGAGACAAGCTGAACCAACTTGTCTTGCACGCTTCAAAATTGAGGTCCTAGTACTTTCATTTCAATGTCTTACTCTTTCTTCCCACTGGGAAGTCTTATGTTGCTGTGGCAATGCATACATGTTGTAGCCTGGAACTATGGTAGAGTGTCAAATTTATTAACTTGCTCAGTCTTACTGCCTATCAATTGCATTATGTCAGAGGAGTTTACAAGTTAACATGTTTGACCATGTTATGAACATACTTTCATTGGCCATTGAATTCTGGAATCAGCCTTGAATGAGGAACTTGTGATTCAGAGACAGAACCCATGAGATGTAAGAGTAGAGGTAGACCATTCAGCGCATTGAGTCTGTTTTGCCATTCAATGATATCATGGTTGATCTAATAATCCTCCATTCCACTTTCCTGTCTTTTCCTCATAACTCTTGATTCCCTTACTGATTAAAAATCTGTCTGTCTCAGCCTTGAACGTACTTACCGACTTGATCTAGATCCTAACAACACCTTAGATTTTAATGAGTTTTACCGAGATTCAGCAATGTTTTCATGGTCATTATTATACTTTTAATTCAATTTTTGTAAATTGGGTTGTTTGAACCTGGATCTTTAGGACATTGCCTGAGTTTCTAGATTAATGGGTTAGTGCTAATTTTATTAGGCTATCACTTCCCCAGTGCGTGTGCTTTTGTTTGAGGTGGAGTTTGTGAGGGAGGCGGGGTGTTGCAATGCATATCCCTTTATATCCCCCTAACACTTCCGGGTGGACTGGCCCTTTAAGCGATGGAATGTTGTGATATGCAGATTGTATGCAAATAGGCGGCGGCTCCCAGAATCCCTTGCGGCCGGTTCCCGGGGGAGAGAGAGAGCGGCACAGCGACCGCCAGGATCCCGGACACCGCGCTTGGAGTCCCCTGAGCTGGCGCGGACATCACCCTCTTACCCCGGCTACCAGCACCCGACAGGTAAGGGAAACCAAGACGGGGACAGCGGCGGTGGCGCTACCAGCAGCGGGTTGTTACCTGGGTGTCCGAGCTAGGCCCCGGGTCCCGGGTCCCTCCCCTGACCCGGTGCTTGGTTCCGCTTGGAGGGCACTGGGTGCAACTCTCTTTGCAGTCCCCCGTTTTCACATTAAACCTGACAGGAGGAGTGTGTGGATCTTCCACATTCTAGGTCAGGGAACTGCCCCTGGATCTAACACAGTCACTCTCATCCTCC